AGGGTTACCATCCTTGAGTCTCAGGGAGAGGGTTGGATAAGATGAACTCAGGGGATAGAACTAAGTTATTAGTAAAGGTGCGAAGGTCCTGGGTGTTTGGTAGGTGGCAATGTCCACTCCACAGAACTGGGGAGATGCTGGATCAGAGGTGTTTGTACATTGCATAATGGGAGTTCTGATGGGGGACCTTTCTTTTCTGGGTGAGGGAGGGGAGGGAAGAGTGGGGAGGTTTCAAAAAAGAGGTGGTTTGGGACCTGGGTTGGAGAGAAAGACTAGGAGGCTGCAAGCCCTGCCAGATCCAGATGGGGAGGGTCTTATAAACCCTTCTCAAGGAATTTGGCTTAATCCTACAGAAAGTGTGGAGTCACTATGTGTATTTTTAATATTTTTAAATCATACTTTTGAGTTGATAAATAGGAAAGGGGAAGAAAAACCACTACCTGTTGAACATCTACTATGTGTTCAAGTCCGTACAGATGCTCTATATGGAGTCCCTCCTCTCATCCCCACGACACATCCCCACAACACACTATGAGAAGCCTTGGATCGGCCCACACCCACCACTGAACAAAGTGGCTCAGGAATCAGGAGCCACAGCCTCACTGGCTGCCGTCTGCTCGGGGACATGACTGCAGACAGGCAGCTCCCAAGCCCCTGATGGCAGGGGTAGGACGAAGCAGTGTTGCGGGAAGAGTGGGACGTGGTTGTTGCAATGTCACACAAGGCAGGTAATGAGCATCTGGACTGACGCGGCAGTAGCAGGGATGGAGAAGAAGAAACAGATGTGGACAGGAGCAAAATTCATGGGAATTCACCACCAAGTGCCTGTGAGTATAACAAAATAGAGTTTTCCAAGATAAAATTGGTTCAACTACAATCTGTGCTTTGAAAATTCAAATGTGTTCCAATCCTATTGATATATTAGGGAACATTTGGAGCATGATACACATTTCAGGATTAGTTTTGCATATACTTGTTCCTCGAGAAATACCAGGTGAATGCGGAAAACTGCATCCAATTTAGGAATACATAAAACATATGCGTGCATGTATGCGCATGTGCGCACGCACGCACGCACACACATACACACACACCACTCAAATGTCTACCGGCTGCCTCAGTTCACCACATGCGTTATGAGCCATGCTTACCCACATCCGGTGCTTCAATTTTGTGCCTGATTCTTCCTTCCGCCACTTCGCAATAACCCACAAAGCGCAGCCACTCCCACAAGCAAACTGCCAGGCTCTCTAAGCGCCACACTCACCGTGTTATTTATGCACTCCCCGACCATCCAACATAGGTAAGACCATGCTACCATTTTAGGTTCCTTTTTTTTTTTTTCATGCCACTGATGGAAGTTTTTGAGTGTTGTGCCCATTTTTCCCACGGTTTTCATTGGTCAGTTCTGTACAGCACACTGATTTGTAGGAACGTGGATGTTGGTATAGCAGAACTGATCGTACCTTCAAGCCTTCCGGTTGGGATTCCTGGGCCCATGATGGTACACTCTACTGAAAGGGGACGTGCCGCCGAAGCAGGGTTGGTGGGGGATGGGAATACCGTGGCTGTGGCTTTGGGCATACTGAGACTGAAGATCCAGGAGAAGCTGGAGAGTATCTAGATGACTAAAAATATTAATTTGAAGTACAGGAAACAAAAAACCAGACAACTAGGGGATATGGAAGAAGTTTTGGGGGCAGGTAGCAAATGCCAAGAATTGAGACCACGTGAGTGAGACAGGCTTCCCAGACAGTCTGGGAGGAAACCTGAGGGCCACCAGCATCCAAGGGCAAGGAAGGTAGGTAGAGAGGGGTCAGAGAAGGAGCCTGAGCAGCAGACAGGGTCAGCGAGGCGGGAGAGAGTGATGTCAGGAAGGCAGGAGAGGTCGAAGTTCACGATGGGAAAGGTCAAACTAGTTACAAGTCTAGATAGAGCGATTGGCCAACGGTGTTCGTCAGATTCAGGTATTCCCAAATCATTCTTAGCCACAGGGAGAGCAGGCTTTTGAGTCTCTCCTCCCAAGGTTTTTAGGGCATGAAGTGGAGCAAAAGAATGGTATTTTGTAGGCAAGTCCGAACGGAAGCCAAATGTTAAAGATTATCTTTGGAGCAAGGAGGAGGGACTAGAAGAGAGAGGAGACTTCAGAAGGGAATGGAAGGAGACAGAGAGAGATGGGAATAGTTACATTTGAAGAGAAGGATGATGCCTTCCTCCCCTGAGGCAGGAACAAAGACAGCAAGGTGAATTTAAGGATGGCTGACTTTATACCCACAGCCTCTCTACTCCTTGGGCAGTGAAGGGGGCGTGAAAATAGGATTGCAGAAGCTTAACCAAGAGAGGGCTTACTTTTCTGGCATAGCAAGAAGAGGTGGCCCGTCCAAGGTTGATGCAAGGGTTACATGGTGTCACCGATGGCCAGACTCCCTCTATAGTCCTACTCTGCCAGTCTGCAATGTACGCCTGCCGACAGTCCAGGCGGTGTGTCTTCATTTCAGGAGGAAACACAGAGAAGGGTAAAGACATTGTGTGCCAGCGATATCCTTCTCTTTTTTAATCAGGAAAACAATAGCTTTTCTGAAAGCCTATTCCATTTACATCTCACTGGAGAACTAGGTCTGGCTGCAAGGGAGTCTGGGTAGTTAGCGTTTTTAACTCTTTGGAAGCGGAAGCAGTGTGGATGTTGGGTAGACAACTAGGTATGCCTGCCGCACTGAAAATAAGTAAGAATGGATTCTTAGGACACAGGTGGGTTTTGAGAACACAAACTGACCCTAGCACCAGTTCTCTGGGGTTCTGTCAAAGCCAGGTGGGTCAACGGGGGGAGTGATCTCACCTCAGGGGGCCTAAAATATTCTCATTATAAGAGAAGATGGTTAAGCCATATTGTTTCTAAGATTTGAAAAAATTCTACAATGTGTAATTCGAAGGGTGTATGTAGTATCCGTTTCTTAAATAGCAGGAAACCATGACTGACTTTCTTGGAAGTGTGAGAAACCCATTGATGATTCTTTAATTAAGCCAGCACTCTCTTAGTTCAGAATGACACAGTACAGTACCTGAGGAAAAGGCTGTCTACAGGCATGTTTTTTTTAGAGAGAGAGAGAGAGAGGAGGGGAGAGGACAGAGGGAGAGGGAGAGAGAGAAACTTAAGCAGGCTCCACATCCCCAGCGTGGCTCGATCTCACAACCCTGAGATCATGACCTGAGCTGTAATCAAGAGTCAGACGCTTAACCGACTGAGCCACCCAGGCGCCCCTGTCTACAGGTATGTTTGATAAGACTTATTAGTACACCAAATTCAAGTTTTTTCAGAGTTTAAATGCACTTACGAATAGTTCTCTAATTCAGACACCTACAAGTGCAATTACAAGCTGGAAGCCCATGAGATTTAAAAAATGTAACAGCAATTGCCTTTCAAAAGGCTGTGTCAGTTTATATTCCCACCAGCAATATACCAGCATATCAGTTTCCCCAGCAGAAAACATATGTAAACATGAAGAAATAAATAGTATTACAAGTTCTTTTATTCTTGGTCAGATGCTGTCATAGGCCCTTTACAATTGTAACTTCATGTAATTCTCCTGGCTACCCTATGAGGTAGGTAGTAGTATTATTCCCATCCTAGAGATAAAGAAACTAAGGCTCAGAAAGTTTCAACAGCTGGCCCAAGCCCATACACTTAATCATTGGCAAAACTGAGACTGGAACCCATCTTTATCTGACACCAAGTCCTCTTTAAGCATAAAGAGGCCTCCTTTTTATGGTTTTCAGCAGAGTAAATAACACAAGAGTAAAGGAAATTGATCTGCACCTTTGCTTCCCTTTCTTCAGGGGGAACTATGTCTTCTGGTTGCGTTTTTAAAGAAAAGCTCAGGCTTTTCTTGTTCTCTGTCATAGACCAAAGTGAGGTTCCCACGGGTCCCAGTCTATACCCATTTGATCCTCCTTGGACATGTGCCCACTCACACAACCAGGTGCTGAACTTCATTTTGCTGTAGCACATAATCACCACAGGAGAGAAAAGAAACCACTGAAGGGGATGACCTGTGCTCATAGTATAGATTTTGTTGTAACAAGGTCAACAAACGATAGTAGCCATTAGTCATTGACTGTTCTTAGAATCCTGCTAAGACAGAAATGGCCAGCAAAAGTCAATCTTCAGTTTCACCTGGGCCTTTTTTAAGGGAGTAAGGAAAAGGGTAGTCGCAGGGTTGAAATGATCATTACAAATCATGGGAGTACCTTGATGAGAGGTGATAATATGGCCTTTGAAAGATATACACTATGACATCTATGACATCGTGAAGATGCACTCAGGACTCAGGGCATGCTTATCAACTAGCAATCGGGAAAGATGCTGAGATTGGTCTGAAAAAAATGAATTCAAGAGTCTTCTGTCTCAAAGTCTGGAAGATTGACATTGACTGATATAGCCATGTAGTTTTACTTTATTAATTAGGTGGATTACATTGATTGATTCTTTTACAGCTTTGTTGAGCAGGAACTTGTTTATATTCAAATTCAGTCATTTAAGCACATAGTTTAATGAGTTTTGCTACATATATGTAGTCATGAAAACACCTCAATGTCTGTAGGACTTGTACTCCTCTCTTTCATTTCCCATATTAGTTATTTATATTCTTTCTCTTTTTCTTTTACCAGTCTTGCTAGGTATTTACCACTTTTACTAACCATTACAAAGAACCAACTTTTGGCTTTATATTCTCTATTGTTCATTTGTTTTCAAGTTCACTGACTTGTGCTCTTATCATTATTATTTCTTCATTTTTACTTACTTTGGGCTTTATATGCTCACTTTCTGACTTCTTATGCTGTAAATTTAGATTTTTTTGAGATATAATTCACATGCTATATTGAGATATAATTCACATGCTATATAATTCACCCATTCAAAGTGTACAATTGAGTGGTTTTAAGAATATTCACAGAGTTGTGCAACCAATATTAAATAAATTTTAGAACGTTTTCATCACCCCCCAAAAGAAATCCTGTGCCCTTTATCAGTCACCCCACCCCTTGTTAACCCTTCTTCCCAGCTCTGAACAACCACTAATCTAATTTCTGCCTCTACAGATTTACCTATTCTGGACAATTCCTATAAATGGAGTCACACAATAAAAGTGACTTTTTTTTTCACTTAGCATAAATGTCTTCAGGTTTCCTCCACATTATAGCATGTGTCAACACTTCATTCCTTTTTATCACCAAATAATATTCCATTGTATGGATTTGCCACTTTTTATGTATTGTTTCATCAGGAGATGAATAGATGATTTAAGTTTTCCTTCATTTCTTTCTTTTTTTTTTTTTTTAAGATTCTATTTATTTATTTGGGACAGGGAGAGCAAGCACGAGCCGGGGTGGGGGGTGTGGAGAGGGAGAGGAAGAAGCAGACTCCCCACTGAGCAGGGAGTCTGACATGGGGCTCCATCCCAGGACTCTAGGAGCATGACCTGAGTTGAAGGCAGACGCTTAACTGACTGAGCCACCCAGGTGCCCCAGTTTTTCTTCATTTCTAATATGTGAACCTAAAGCTGTAAAATTGCCTCTGAGCACTCCCTTAGCTACATCCCATGAACTTTGGTATCATATTTTCATTATAATCCCATTCAAGGGGCGCCTGGGTGGCTTAGTCATTGGGCATCTGCCTTCGGCTCAGGCCATGATCCCAGGGTCCTGGGATGGAGCCCCGCATCGGGCTCCCTGCTCAGCCAGGAGCCTGCTTCTCCCTCTCCCACTCCCCTTGCTTGTGTTCCCTCTCTAGCTGTCTCTCTCTCTCTCTGTCAAATAAATAAATAGAATCTTAAAAAAAATATCCCCTTCAAAATATTTTCAAATTTCCTTTGTGATATAAATCACGGAGCTTTATAAATGTATTGATTAATTTTCAAAATGTTCGGGACTTTTATCTATATCCTGCAGATTTAATACTCTCCACTGATTTCTCTTGGAGTTCACTGTTTCTTCAGTTGACTCCAAAATGCTGTTTAAAGGCATCCCAAAATCTGTTGTGTTTCTATACACCAATAACAAACTATCAGAGAAATAAAGAGAATAATCCCATTTACAAGTGCTTCAAAAAGAATAAAATACCTTGGAATAAATTTAATTAAGGAAGTGAAAGACCTGTATATTAAAACAATAAGACATTAATGAAAGACATTGAAGAAGATACAAATAAATGGAAAGATACCCTGTGCTTGTGGATTAGAAAAATCAATACTGTTAAAATGTCCATACTACCCAAAGCAATCTACAAGTTTGATGCAATCCCTATCAGAATTCCAATGACATTTTTCAAAGAAATATGACAAATAATCCTAAAATTTGTATGGAACACAAAAATTCCCAGATGGCCAAAGCAATCTTGAGAAAGAAGACCAAAGCTGGAGGCATCATGCTCCCTGATTTCAAACTATATTACAAAAGCTATAGTAATTAAAACAGGATGGTATTGGCATAGAAACAGACACATAGGTCAATAGAACAAAATAGAGAACTCAGAAATAAACCCACACATATGTGGCCAACTAATTTACAACATAGGAACCAAGAATATACAATAGAAAAGAGACAATCTCCTCAACAAATGGTGCTGGGAAAACTGGACAGCCACATGCAAAAGAATGAAACTGAACCACACTCTTACACCACACACAAAAACAAACTCAAAATGTATTAAAAACTGAATGTTAAGACCTGAAACCATAAAATTCCTAGTTGAAAACCTAGGTAATATGCTCCTTGATATAGGTCTTGGTGACAATTTTTTAAATTTAACACCAAAAGCAAAAGCAGCAAAAGCAAAAACAAGTGGGCTACATCACACTAAAAACATCTGCACAGCAAAGAAAACCATCAACAAAATGAAAAGGCAACCTATTGAATGCGAGAAAATATTTGCAAATTATATATCTGATAAGGAGCTAATATCCAAAATATATAAAGAACTTATACAATTCAACAGCAAAAAAGACCAAACAATCTGATTTAAAAATAGGCAATGGACCTGAATAGACATTTTTCCAAAGAAGACATACAAATGGCCAAGAGATACATGAAAAGATGCTCAACATCATTAGTCATCAGTGAAATGCAAATAAAAACCATGATGAGATATGATCTCACACCTGCTTAAATGGCTGTTACCAAAAAGATAAGAGATAAGTGTTGGCAAGGATATGGAGAAAAGGGACCCCTGTGTGCTGTTGTGGGAATAAAAACTGGTGCAGCTACTGTGGAAAACACTATGGAGGTCCTTCAAAAAATTAATAGAACTATTGAATAATCCAGCAATTTCACTTTTGGGTATTTATCGTAAGAAAACAAAAACACTAACTTGAAAAGATATATGCATCCCCATGTTTACTGCAGCATTATTCACAATAATCAAGATATGGAGGGCGCCTGGGTGGCTCAGTTGGTTAAGCAACTGCCTTCGGCTCAGGTCATGA